GTTTTGGATGATATAAAGGGTCTTCACACATGAAGTCTGTCTTTAAGCAACTTCAGTTGGGAAAATAATACAAGGTAGGGTCAGTGCCATAGGAGCAGAAGAAAAGTTATTTGGCAGCAGTAAAAATACTACCCTTCATATATGCATAGTGTTTTGCAGATATAATTTTATTCAATAATCTGTAATATATTGAATACCTACTGTGTATAAAGACCTGTGTTAGGGTATGTAACAGTGAGACACACAGACAAGGTTTCTGCCTTCTTAACACTAGAAACCAAACTTCAGAAAGAGAAATCTGACCAGATATTTTTGTAGTCCTTGCCTTAATTTGCTTAGCTATAACAAAATGCTACAGACTAAGTAGCTTATAAAGAACAGACATTTATCATAGTTCTGGAGGCTGGAGATCTGAGGTCAGGGAGACAGCTAGGTCAAGTGAAGCCTCTTTTCCCTCAGAAATTGCGGACTTCTCATTGTACCTTCACATGGTGGAAAGGGCTAGGGAGCATTCTGGGGTATCTCTACCTAAGGATAAGGGCACTAATCCCATTCACAAGGACCCCACCTTGGTGACCTCATCACCTCCCAAAGACCTCACCTCCTTACACCACCACTGGTGTACGGATCGCAACATCTGAATTCTGGGGGGAGACACAAACATTCAGATCATGGTATTCCATCCTTGGCCCCTCAAATTCATGTCCTGCTCTCAAACAAAATACACTCATTCCCTGCCAACAGCCCTAAAAGTCTTAATTATCTCTTCCAGCATCCACTTACAAGTCTATAAAGTACAGAGTCTCATCTAAATCATGTATGGGTAAGACTCAAGGTATGATTTATTATGAGGAAATCCCTTCTAGCTGTGAGCCTGTGAAATCAAACGATTTATGTGTTTCTGAAATAACAATGGTGGGACAGACATAGGATAGGTATTTTCATTCCAAACAGGAGAAATAGGAGAGAAAGAAGGGGCAACAGGTTCCAAGCAAGCTCAAAATCCTACAAGGCAACTAACATTAAATCCTAAGACATGAGAATACTCTTTAGATGTTCGACCCTCTGAGATGGAGGTCCTACCTTCTGGATCAACTTGGGGAGGGGGGTGGGGAGGGATCTTACCTTCTAGACCCTGAGGAGCATTCGCAGCCCAGTGGCTTTTCAGGGAAGCTCACATGGGTTGGAGTTGCACACTGATGGTTCTACCAGTCTGGGATCCTAGGGATAGCCCCATCCTGATGGCCTTCATTGGGAATTGCCCTGGTTGGGGTTCTCTGGTGGCCTTGCACTTGAGGTGGCCCTGTGCTTGGGTTGTGCTCTCGCAGCTCTGGGCAGCTTCATCCTTCCAAATCTAAGTGGAGATAGCCATGCTCCCAATGGCTCTGCTAGGCATGAGTCAGCCCCCGCCCCCCATGGCTTTGGGAGACATCACTTTGGTTTGATTGGAGGTTGTGTGGTCTGTTGAAACCAAGGAAATGCCCCACCCAAAATTTGTGAAACTGAGGGGACAACTTTGATGATTTCTGAATTGCATTTAGGGTCCTTCCTCCTTGTCTTGAAGAATAGCCCAACGTCAAAGCCATAGCTCTTAGATCCCATCCTGTACAATCCAAGTCCAACAGCCAGCCTCATTCCTTCCTTTTCATTTCACATGGACTTTCCTTCTTCAGTTGCTACCTAACTCTTTGGTTCAAACCCATATTGACCCTTAATCAAAAGGTGGTTTTGGATACACCCTGTCCTCTCTTGAACAAACTTTCCCATTTCTTTCAATAAGGAAACACTGAAAAGTATCCAGATTTTTAGGTTCTATTTCCTCTTTGATCAACTACCTTTAAATCATTTCTTTTGTCACATTTTACTATAAGCATTCAAGAAAAATTAGGCCACTCCTTCAGCACTTGGCTTAGAAATTTCCTCAGCCAAATATCCAGTTTCATCGCTCGCAAGTTCTACCCTCCACAAAACCCCAAGACAAGAATCCATTTCAGCAAAGCTCTTTGCTGCTTTATAGCAAGGATCACCTTTCCTCTTGTTTCGAATAACATATTCCTTATTTCCATCTGAGACCTCATCAGAATGGCCTTTGCCGTCCATCATATTTCTACTAATACTCTGTTCACAACCACTTAGGTATTCTCTAAGAAGGATGAGGCTTTCTCTACAGCTTCCTGTTCGCCTTCAGAGTTCTCACTGGAATTGCTTTAAATGCAATTTAAATGATCTGTTCATGGCAACGTAGGCTTTTTCTACCACGCACCTCAAAATTCTTCAGCATCTACTGATTACCCAATTCCAAACTCACTTCCACATTTTTAGGTATTTGTTACAGCAGCACTCCACTCTCGGGACCCATTTCTGTCTGGCTCTGTTCATGCTGCTGTAACAAAATATGACAGACCACGTAGCTTATGAACAATAGAAATGTATTTCTCATAATTCTGGAGGCTGCAAATCTGAGATTGGGGTGCCAGCAAGGCCAGGTTAGGACCCTCCTCTGGGTTTTAGCCTCCTTGTATTTTCACTTGGCAGAAGAGGCTAGGGAGTTCTGTGGGACCTCTATTATAAGAGAACAATCCCATTCGTGAGAGTCCCACCTCACATTGGGCATTAGGATTCCAAGGTGAATTTGAGGGAAACACAAACATTCAGACCATAGCAATCCTTTTAAGAAAGTATTCAGTCCTTTTTTTACCGAGACTTCCATTTTTTAGAGCAGTTGAGGGTTCACAAAAAAATTGGTGTAGAAATCTCCCATGTATTCCCTGCCCCACACCTGCATAGCTTCTCTCATTACCAACACCCCCCACCAGAGTGGTACCTTTGTTAAAACTGATGGACCTACATTGGTACATTATAATAACCCAAAGTTCATAATTCCACTCTTGGTGTACATTCCATGGATTTGGACAAATGTATCCATTACTAGGGTATCATACAGAGTATTTCCACTGCCCTGAAAAGCTTCTGTGCCCTGTTTATTCATCCCCCACCTCCATTGGAATCCTACAATATGCATCCTTTTCAGATTGGCTTCTTTCATTGAATAATATGCGTTTAAGTTTCCTCCATGTCCGCTCATGGCTTCATAGCTCATTTCCTTTTAGTGTTAAATAATGTCATTGTCTGGGTGTACCGTGGTTTATTTATCCATTCACCTAGTGAAGGACATCTTGATTGCTTCCAAGTTTTAGCAATTATGAGTAAAGCTGATGTGAACATCCGAATGCAAGTTTTTGTGTTGACATAAGTTTTCAGTTCCTTTGGAAAGATACCAAGAAGTGCGATTGCCAGATCATATGGTAAGAGTATATTTAAGAGTATGGTAAGAGTTTTGTAAGAAACTGCCAAACTGTCTTCCAAAGTGACCAAGTGATTTTGCATTCCCATGAACAATGAATGAGAGTCCCTGTTTCTCCACATCCTCAACGCACATCCACTAGCATTTGGTGTTGTCAGTGTTCTGGAATTTGGCCACTCGAATAGGTATGTCAATAATTTCTTTTTCTCACTAGCAAGATTTTACATACAGATCAGCAACTTGTTTGTGGATTTCCCTGGCAACCTCAACAATATTCAAAATCGAGCTTAAGTCTCCATGAGTGCAGAATTTTCCTTAAAAATATAGTGTAGTTACGCTTTAGAGGTGATGATTGTCAGCCTACTGCCAGTAGTGGAAGAATCTAGTGTTGGCATATGCCTGCCAGTTGTTTTTTATTTTTGTTGTTTTGTTGTTGTTGTTTTTGTTTGGTTTGGTTTTGGTTTAAAGAATATCCTAGACAATGAGAAAGAATGAAATCTGGCCATTTGTAGCAATGTGGATGGAACTCGAGGGTGTTAATGCTATGTGAAATAAGTCAGGCAGAGAAGGACAGATACCATATGTTTTCACTCATATGTGGAACAGGAGAAACATAACAGAGAACCATGGGGGAGGGAAAGGGAGAAAAATAGTTAAGGAGAGGGAGGGAGGCAAACCTTAAGAGACTCTTGAATGCTGAGAACAAACAGGGTTGATGGGGGTGGGGGGAAGGGAAAGGAGGATGATGGGCACGGAGGAGGGCACTTGGGATGAGCACTGGGTGTTATATGGAAACTAACTGGACAATAAACTATAAAAAAACAAAAACAAACAAAACAAACAAACAAAAGAAGAATATCCTAGACTGGAGACAGTGCTTGCCCAACTGCTTCTAAGTAGTGCCACAGTCTATAACAGTAACTCAACAAATGCTTTTAGACAACAGTAGTTGCTTATTAAATGTTTGAAATATTTTCACAAAAATTAAAGATGATATGGGGTCCAGAGAATGCACTTAGGAAATCTATTTTTAAACCTGAATATTTGAAACCTCTTCTAGAAGTTACATCCCTGCAATAAATAGTCTTTGAGATGCTGCTGTGTGGACAGGCAGTTAGATTGGTACACGTGGTGACAATGAAATGTTTTACACTTTTGTTATCCAGTAGAAATATAATGTGAGACACATACGTAATTTAAAATTCTCTATTGAACAAATTAATAAAATGAAAAAGATTTTTATACTTTATTTATTTAGTGCAACATATTAAAAATATTTCAATGTGAGTCAATATACAAAATCACTGAGACAGTTTACACTTTTTGTATTGGTTTTCAAATTATGTATTATTAAATGAAGTGTGTATTTTACACTCACACATCTCAATTCACACTTCAAGTGCATCCACATTCCAAGTGCTTTTGTTTTTTTATGTTTTTTAATGTTTCTTAAATTTATTTCTGAGAGAGAGAGAGAGACAGCATGAGCAGGGGAGGGTCAGAGAGAAAGGGAGATACAGAATCTGAAGCAGGCTCCAGGCTCTGAGCTAGCTGTCTGCACAGAGCCCGACGCGGGGCTCGAACCCACAAGCCGTGAAATCATGACTGGAGCGGAAGTCGGATGCCCAACCAACAGAGCCACCCCGGCGCCCCTCCAAGTGCTTTTGGACAGCACGGTTCTGTTATTCCTGAGTCGTCAGTCACTTTCTGAACCATTTGGAGGCAAGAAGACACGTGTGCTGTTGAAATAATGAATTCCCTGAGCCAGTGCACACCATACATCATCGCTATCGTCTTTTTGGGTGTCAGTCCGTTAAAAGTAATAGCCATGTCTGACGAGCGGTCTTGTACTACTTCCTGAGGATTATTACACATGCTCTCTTGAATAAGATGTGCATTGGTTTTGTATTAAATACAACTCTTCCTTCAGAGTCCTCTGCATTTTCTGCAAGAACTCCGGCTTCTTCGAGGCCGACTGCCGGCTGCATATCTTCACATAACTCTCACATGACACTTCAAGCTGCACACTTCTCAGACTTACTGAAGAGGCTGTCTTCCAGATTCTATACTGGACAATTTCTCCTTCCACAGTCATGTATTGGAGGTTGCCATGTTATAGTGTGGCCCAACGAGAAAGGTTGTGATAAAGCCCCGGTAAACAGAAAATACCCTGAATTGTCAATGACCGCAAATGCAGCGGGACATGTAAGAAAGAACCAGTTGTAGCTGTCACTGACCTTTTCAAAGACATATTTCTAAGTTGTCCTCATCTGCATTCACATGTCATTTTTTTCAAGTTTTATTTATTTATTTTGAGAGAGAGAGAGAGAGAGTGCGAGCAGAGGAGGGGCAGAAAGAGAGGGAAAGAAAGAATCTTAAGCAGGTTCTGCGCTGCCAGCATGAAGCCCAAGGAGGAGAGGGGGACTTGATCCTACGAACCCAGATCATGGCCTGACCTGAAGTCAAGAGTCCATCACTTGGGGCGCCTGAGTGGCTTAGTCGGGGTTAGGTGTCCGACTTCGACCCAGATCATGATCTCACAGTTGTAGGTTTGAGCCCCGCTGTCTATGACAGCTCAGAGCCTTGAGCTTGTTTCAGATTCTGTGTCTCCCTATCTCTGTACCCCTCCCCAGCTCGTGCTCTGTCTCTCTCTGTCTCAAAAATAAATAAACGTTAAAAAAATTTTTTTAAAAAAAGAGTCCATCACTTAACCCACCAAGCCACCCAGGTACCCCTCCACATGTCATTTTTAAAAATATTAAAAAACCTAACAATCTGTCATTTTTTTTTATTTTTTAATTTTTTTTACAATCTGCCATTTTTAATACTGTAGGGTTCTGCTTTGTCACAGTGTTTGCTCCAAGTCTTTTTCATAATGCTCATCTTGGATTCTCCACAGCTGATATAGCCAACGGATACTGTTATTAAGACCCATGCGTTGCACTTCTGAAATATATAAGAAATCTTTTCTGTTTGGTGGGCGAAGGTAATGGTGATCAGGGTCTTTACCTCTGTGTTGAATGTTAATTGGCCACATGGTTGTCAAAACGCAATAAATGCTCCCAAGCAGCATACTGGTTAAAAAAAAAAAAAAAGAAAAAAGAAAAAGATAAAAAACCCACACACCCTGGTCCGGGTCCCAGCAGCCCCACCCAATCTGGAGCTAGGGCCGCCCTCCCAGCTGGGACACTCTAGCCTTGGGGGGGGGGGGGGGCGCTTCTCCGTGGTTCTGACAAGTGGGTGGGGCTGGAGCCAGGCGTGTCAGCCCTTGGGCGGCCCAGGGTGCAGCAGTTTGAGGTGCGCTGGAAGTTCTAGAATAGCAACCAACAATGAAACTGAGAATGAGCAAAAATCGAGCAACAGACAGCTGTAACGTTGACCGTATTTCAGCACTCAGAAAAAAAAGAATTTAAAGTTGAGTTTGATGTCGCAGTTGTGTATTCAATACCTAGTACACATTTCTTTTGTTAATTTGCATTGGGTCCTTTTTAAGGCTTTTCTTTATTTTACTTATAATAGTCATTTCAGTGTTTTACTTTAAATCTACAAACTTCCCCCCCTTTTTTTTTCTATTTTAAATTTAAATTTTAGGGGCGCCTGGGTGGCTCAGTCGGTTAAGCGTCTGACTTCAGCTCAGGTCATGATCTCACGGTTGGTGGGTTCGAGCCTCGCATTGGGCTCTGTGCTGACAGCTCAGAGCCTGGAGCCTGCTTTGGATTCTGTGTCTCCCTCACTCTCTGCTCCTCCTCTCCTCACACTGTCTCTCTCTCTCTCAGAAATAAATAAAATATTTTTTAAAAATTTAAATTTTAGTTAACATGCAGGACAATATTAGTTTCAGGAGTAGATTTCAGTGATTGATCATTTACCTACAACACCCAGTGCTCATCCAGACAAGTACCCTGCTTAGTATCCACCACCCATCTCCCACCCACCTCCCCTCCAGCAATCCTTAGTTTGTTCCCTGTCATTAAGAGTCTCTCGTGATTTGTTAAATCTCTGAACTTTTCATTTTCTATAGAACTTTAAAAAAAAATACCAAGATTCTTTTTTTTTTTTCTCTTGTGCCCTACACTTTGGTGGATGTGCACATGTGTGTTAACATGAGTCTCTTTACTCTGCTACAGTGTATGAGAATTAAAACTAGCTAGAATTTTTTTGGGGTGGCCTTGGTGTTTCAGTCAGTTAAGCATCTGACTCTTGGTTTCAGTTCAGGTCATGATCTCAGTTTCATGAGTTCGAGCTCCACATCTGGATCTGTGTTGGCAGTGTGGAGCCTGCTTGGGATTCTCTCTCTCTGTCTCTCTCTCTCTTTCTCGCTTCCTCTCTCTCACTCTTTCCCTCTCTCTGTCTGTCCTCTGTTCATACTATCTCTGTTTCTCTCAAAATAAACAAATTAATTAAACAAAAATAAAATGACCCAGAGCTTTGACTTAAACATGCCACCTATGGAGCTTGTGAGACTACACCACTTTCTGATACCTTTGTGACTTTTTGATCCACAGATCAAATATGATATTTGAGGTCTTACTATTCTCTTGGATTTAAATTACTGTTCTTAATATGTGTTGACCAGTAACTCGTAAGTCAATGAAGAAAATCCTACGGGTGAATCCTCATGTAGGTTAGATTACATTTTACTAAAAGTATGAAACATTTGGCATGTTATTTGATCAACTTTTAAATTTTTAAATATGCACTGAAAGAGCCTTCAATGTCATAAATTGTATGTCATTCATATCCATTAAACTACTTTAAATATTCTTTTTTTTAAACTGCTTTAAATATTCTTAAAGAATCTTATGATATTGCAAGATTTTTTAAGTCCCTTTCAGAAGAGAAATCTGAATTTTTAGCTCTTGTTTTCTCACTTTACAGATGCAACAGCTTGAGAGACAAGTTATCGATGCTGAACGGCAAGCGGAAAAAGCTTTTCAACAGGTAGCGTATAGTTTTAGTTAATTTTTTCTCTCTCTGCCAACATAAACTTTGTTTTGCCCAAAACAGTCCTCAAGATAGTCTTTAGCTCTTCTCTACATTTTATCTCTTTGGCTGTTCTGTGAGCTAGATCCATAGAGAAAATGGAGTCTGACATTATTTCACCCTTTAACAGGTTCCCAAGGGATAAAATTGCTTCTGTTAGGAAGTTTTCTCTTAATTCCGAAAAAAACAAGTACTGCTTTCATGGCAATCCTAACCATAATGAAGTTTTAAATATAAATATGTTCATAGCAGTTTCTTTTATAAAGTTGGAAATAATGTGAATGTCATATTATAAGAGAATGAATAGGTGAACTATATTCATCCTGTGAAATATTAAACAACCATTAACAATAACTATTACAGGGGCACCTGGGTGGCTCAGTCAGTTAAGCATCTGACTCCTAATCTCAGCTCAGGTCATGATTTCACAGTTTGTGGGTTTAAGCCCCACATTGGGCTCTGTGCTGATGACATGGAGCCTGCTTGGATTCTCTCTCTCCTTCTCTCTGCCCCTCCCCCACCTATGCATATGGGGGGGGCGTGTGCACACGCATGTGCTCTCTTTCTCAAAATAAATAAATAAACATTAAAAAATAATTATTAGAAAAGACATACTAATACAGAAAAATGCTTAGAGCTATATTAGGGAAAATATGCACAAAAATTTTTACTTAGTATGTTAATAGTATATGGGAGAAAAGTCAAATCTTTGATAAGTCACTTAACCTTATCTGGGACTTGCCAACATTAAAATGAGTGTTTTCAATTAGCTCACCAGGAAGCCTTAAAGTTTGTCTAATTATTCTCAGTCCGTAGCTTCATATTTTATGAAAAGATCTTTGTCAGATTCAGGCAAGTCAGGATTTTCAAAATTATTATTTTTCCAGGAAGTATACATTTAATTTCTTATACATTCTCTAAATCTGTCATGTTTCTTCCCTTCAACATAAGTACTACCAAATCTTGTTTACACCTAAAAGATTTAATCTTGTACAGTAGATTGATTCAGTAGCCTGATAAATTTCTAAATAAACCCAATCTAACCTAATCCTTGATTTTCTTTAATTAGTTATACACAGGGGCACCCAGGTTGCTCAGTCAGTTGGGCGTCTGACTCGTGATTTTGGCTCAGGTCATGATCTCACAGTTCATGAATTCAAGCTGCGCATTTGGCTCTGCAATGTGGAGCCTGCTTGGGATTCTCTATGTCGCTCACTCTCTGCCCTTTCCTTTCTCTCTCAAAATAAATAAACTTTAAAAAATAGTTATACTTAAAAGAAATTACTACAATTTTATTATGACAAATTTCAACCAGTACAAGAGTAGAGTAAATAGTATAATGGACTCCCATCACCAGCTTTAACAATAAGTCAACTCAAAGCTAATCTGTACCTCCATCCACTTTATTCTTCTCCACCTCCACACCAAGCTATTTTGAAATAAATCCTAGACATTATATTATTTCACCCTTGTGTATATCAGCAACTAATCTAGAAATAAAGACTTAAAATCACAACTTTAGTACCATCATCACACCAGTAATTATTTAAAGCCTCAAATTTAGGTATCGGTAGAAGTATGAGTAGTAATGGTAAAGATCTATACTGTGCTTAGTTTTTTATATTGTTTAGCTAGTAATGCCTCCACTTAGAGCTATAAAAATCCAGTAGTCACCAGTAAACTCATAAAAGGTCACTTATGTTCTGTGTTTATGTCACTGTCATTCTACTAAATGTCTTTGTCTTTTTCCATTGTCGGCTCTGTATGTATGGGCCTGTTTAGCCCGACACCCTACAGCTCACATTGGCAGTTTGTTTACTTCTCTTCCTTGTCTATCTCTTTACTTCCCGTTTCTGACTTTGGCCTTTCTTGGTGACATCTCTCTTTACTTCTGTATCCATGCTTGTCTCTCTGTCTGTTCTTCCCTATCTTTCCCTCCCCTTTCTTCCCTTTAGCACCTCATAGTACAGGAAAAATAGAAGGAAACTGAGGATGGTTTTGTTTTGCCTTTTCTTAAATTAAAATTCTTAATTCATATGTGCAGCATAATTGTTTAGCTCTAAAAATCAAGTATTTTTACCTGTGATTTTTGCAGTTTTCTTCTGTGATTCACTAGACCTTAAGAGAAAAAAGAATCCTCATTCCCAATTTAAGGGAAGCAAGCAAGCCATGGCTGTTCATAGCTATTAGGGCCCAACCACTGATCTTGATAAACTAATAGGAAGAAGTTCTTCTCTGAAGTTGTCCTTTTAGGATATCAGGTATAAAGTTATTTGATTCTGTGTGCTACACTTTACAGCAAAAAGACACTTTGATTGGCTAAATGGCCTTAAATCAAACCTCTCCTCCCATAAAGAGAATTGCAAATCTCCCCAAATTTCTATGTAATTTAGCAAAATCTGTAGTATTTGTTTTTGTCACAGCACTTTAAATCTATTCAATACCTATTTTGTCATGCTTCAGAAGGTATTTTTTCCTTACATAAGGATGCCTTATATTACATCATGTATTCTTGTACATAATATATATTATACATTGTATATTATGTATTATATAAATTACATGTTATACATTATATATATATCACACATTATACACTATATTACATACATAATGATTCTAAAAGTTTGCAGGAAATATAAACAGAGAGCAAATGAATTTCATGCACCGATTATATTACCTTTTTTTTTTTTTTTGGCTTTCTCAAAACTAAGTAAATGTTAATAACGTAGAGTAACTGAATCCTTTGCTATCTTTAACAGCTTCCATGGGACTGTGCCCTGTCTGCTGTTTATGTTGCTTAAATTCAGCTCGTCCTTTGTCAGTAAGCAAGAGCCTAAGACTTAAACTGTATTTATATTAACCAAAAAGGAACATCTCACCGCTAAAAGCAGTAGTCAGCTAAAACCAGCTTAACTCTGCACCTTAGTGGTGCATTTTCCCCCTTGTTTTTAATGACTGGCATTACCTTACCTGTACAACCCTTACATACGTTGGCTGTAGAAAGAAATCATACGCTTTTCCAGGAGAAATCTTGGCAATGGTTATTCTTAATACTGTAGTACATTTTTATCGTAGTTGAAAGCAGAA